CCAAAGCTACACTGCTGTGGTCACATGCGTGTGTCAGATGGCTTTTAATGAGGGGCTGCTGGGGGGGCCAGGGCCTGTGTGGTGGCAGTGCCCATGCCAGCAGGACCCCACGGCTGTACCGTGTCCCCCCACTAGGGGGACGCCATTGTGACCCCGGGGCGGCATCGGGCCAGGCCGCACCTCGGTCAGCAGTGAGCAAAGTGGGCCTCGGCAACGTCACGCAGGTCAAGGCCCGAGACGCCCGGGGGGCTGGCGCAGGTGATGTTGTTGTAGGTGTACGGGGGCGGCTGGCCGTCGTCCCCCTCCGGCGCGGCCTGCATGAAGCGTGGCACGACGTTGGGCTGCTGCAGGGCTAGTGCCCTCAGGGCCCGCAGGGGGCAGCCGCAGTGCCAGGGGTTGCCCTCGAGCCACAGGCGCTCCAGGCCGGGGGCCTGCGGCGTGAAGGTCCGCAGGGAGTTGTTCCTGAGGCTCAGGTAGCGCAGCTGGGGCAGGTCGGCCTCGGGCAGGGCCTCCAGGCGGTTGTGCGAGACGTCCAACCAGAAGACGCGCCTCAGGGGCCGCAGGGAGTCTGCCGACAGCGCCGCCAACCGGTTGCTGGAGAGGAGCAGGTACTCCAGCTTGCTGAGGCCCTGGAAGACCTGGCCGGGCAGGTGCGTGAGCTGGTTGGCCGTGAGGTCCAGCTCCAGCAGCTCCGCCAGCCCCCCCAGGCCCTGCTCCTCCACGGCCACGATGCCATTGTCCTTGAGGAAGAGGCGGCGCAGCCCCGAGAGGCCCGCGAAGGCGTGCGGCCGGATGCGGCCCAGGCAGCTGCGCTCCAGGTGCAGGCTGTGCAGCCGGCCCAGGCCGTGGAACACCTGCTCCGGGAGCGTCCGCAGGCAGTTGCCGGAGAGGTTCATGACCGCCACACTGAGGAGGCCGAGGAAGGCACCTGCCTCCATCTCCCGGATCTGGTTGTCGTTGAGCGTGAGCACCTCCAGCTGGCCCAGGCCTTCGAAGGCCTTGTCAGGCAGCTGCCGGATGCGGTTGTGGCCGAGCTGCAGCTCCTCCAAGAAGTGCAGGTCTTTGAAGGTGCGCGGCCGCAGACCGGCGATGGCGTTGTGTGAGAGGCGCAGGACGTGCAGGCCCAGCAGGCCGGGGAAGGTGTCCTCCAGGAGGCCGCCCACGCGGTTGTGCGACAGGTCCAGCCAGCGCAGCGCCTTCATGCCCAGGAAGGCCCCAGGGGCCACGGCGGTGATGAGGTTGTGGTCCAGGTAGAGCTTCTGGAGCTTGGGCAGCTTGACGAACACGTTGGCCTTGACGCTCCGCAGGGCGTTCCTGCTTAGGTCCAGCTCGCGGAGCTCGGCCAGGCCGCAGAAGAGCGGGGGCTGCAGGTAGGCCAGCTTGTTGCCCGCCAGCACCAGCTCGCGCAAGTTGGCCAGGCCTTGGAAGGCAGCGTCGGGGAGCACGGCGAGGCTGTTCCAGCCGAGGTTGAGGTCCCAGAGGCCGGCCAGACCCTGGAAGAGGCCCTCGTCCACCCGGCCAAGTAGATTGTTGCTGAGGCCGAGGGAGGCGAGGCCCGGCGTGTGCAGGAAGGTGCGGGCCGCTAGGCCCCGCAGCTGATTCCGCTCCAGGTGCAGGTGCCGGAGCTGCTGCAGGCCGAGCAGCGCCTGAGGCTCCAGGCTGGCCAGCCCGCTACCCTGCAGGTTGAGGAAGGCGAGGCCGGAGAGGTTGTGGAAGGCGGCCGCAGGGACGGAGGACAGGTTGTTGCCGTCCAGCCACAGGGCCCTGGCACCGTCCGGGATGCCGTCGGGCAGCCGCGTGAGGTTCCGGGAGCTGCAGAAGACGCTGAGCTCGTCGACGTAGTCGTCGTGGCCGCAGGTGCAGACGACCGGGCACTGCAGGCTCTCGGAGGCCCCCGGGGCCCCGGGCTCTGCTCCCTCCAGGCCACAGGGGCCCAGCGCTGCCCAGCAGACCAGCAGCACGGCCAGGGCCGGGCCTCCTGCAGGGAGAGGGGCCAGAGGGTGTGAGCCCCGGGGCTAGGGCACAGCCCGCACATGCGTGGAACTCGTGGGGCTCGCCCCGGGCCGCAGCACGTGACCGGAAGAGGCGGTGCCACTGAGGGCCCGGAGGAAGGGGGGAGCTCAGACCTGCGCTCTGTCCCCGCCGGAGTCGGAAGCAGAGACGGGCAGGACAATCGGGACGTCGTCCGTCTCAGAACCGACTGCCCTTTCCACCCTGCAGGCCAGGCCCGCCGGGGTCGTGATGTCTGGTCTGGAGAGAACGGAGGGTAGGGGCGCCTGGCCATTCGGCCGTGAGGCCATCTGCGTCCCTAGCGTGGACACGAGTGGGGCCCTGCCGCCAGGTGGGCCTGGGGAAGGCCTGAGTAGGTATGTGCTCCCTGCCCTTGAGGGCTGGCCAGTGAGCGGGTGCACACCACCCCGGTTAGGCTCCCAGACTGGGGGGCCCTCACCCACGTGCTCCCTGGTGTGTGGGTCCCATGTCCAGGAACGTAGCCCGGCTCTGGGGCAGGGAGAGGAGCAGCACGCCTGCCTGAGGGCAGACAGGGACTCCACACCCTCAACTCACCAGGGGTCAGGGGTGTTTCGGGACAAAGGGCACTGGGCCCCACACCAACACCCCAAAACCTGCATCACGCCCTGGGCTGCCCACCGAATTGGGGCCCGTCCCTGCCCTCGGAGGGCTCAGGGTGTCTGGGTGAGGCCAGAGACAGTGCTAGAGGATGCGCCCCCCACCCCCACCGCCCGGATGGGGCTGGGCCCCGAGGGGGATGGGGTGACAGGGTCCTGGCCCATGAGGGGCTGAGGAAAGCAGCCCAGCCCAGGGAAGGGTCTCTGGAGTGGGGTGTGAGCAGACTCGCACTCTTGCCGGGCGTCCCGACCTGGGCCCTGGGACCAGACAGGAGGTGGGCAGAGGGAGTGGAGGAGCCTGAGGGCGCATCCCTTGGCCGGCAGCAGCAACACTCGGCTGTTGGCCCACTCCGAACTGAGCCCTCCCTGGGGCTGCCCCTGGCCTCGTGGGCTTAGGGGCACAGGGTTAGCTGCCCCCAGAGTGAGGGGCTGGGGCCCTGGGGGCACCTCACCTCTAATCGGGGCCATCCCGCGTGCAGAAAGGCCACAGGCGGGCCGCAAGCTGAGTGCGTCTGCTGGGGCCGGCTGCTCGTGCCCTCTGATTCCCCCACTGCTGGGGCAGCCAGCACCCTGTCGCTGGCCAGCCCAGCCCAGCCCCACTGGCCCGGATTCCATTAACCCTCTCGTGCCCGGCACCCAGCATCAGCCCCAAATGCCCAGGATGCAGACGGTGCAGGGGAGAGGCTGGGGGGCCGTGTTCACCCCAAAGCCACCTTCAGGTTTGGCTGGCCCCCGGCCCCTGGGTGGGGGCCCTTCTGATAGCTGTGGGGGACCTCCCACTCAGCAGACGGCCATGTGGGAGTTAAGTGGGAGATGGGACTGGCACGCTGACCACCCCCCTCCTTCCCCCTGCCCATTTCCTAACAACCTGGGTGGGGTCCTCATTAGGACTCCGTGGGGCCCCGCCCAGCCTTGGCTTCTGGGACCTCAGGATCAGCTGGTGTCTGACCACTCCTCCTCCCCCCAATCTCTTCTAGGAACACCCAGCAGGGCCCCCGGCCCCCTCGTGTTTGCTTTCCCTAGCACTGCCCTCCCAGAAAGAGTGGAGGGAGGCCTGGCCTTGGGGGCCAGGTCTTGTGGCCACAGGACCAGCCTCCACCTGCTCTGGAACCCAGGCTGTCCTCCAGAGCTCCTGGGGGGCCATGACCAGCCCGTTCTGCACAGGATGACCACCCAGTGCCTGGCCTGAGGTCAGCCCCAGGTCAGGCGGAGAAGAAGGTTGACAGCCAGCATGGCCCCTGGCTGCTCGAGCAAAGGGATCCTGGCCGCACCCTCGTCCACCCGCCCTGGGCGCGGCTGGCACAGCCAGGGGAGGGGTCCTCCATAGGGGCAGGGAGGCAGAGCTGGAGGGCTGCACTGTGCGTGGCCAGCCCCGGGAAGAGGTGATTCGAGCAGTAGGGCAGAGGCGGGTGGACAAGGGCGCGGCCGGGCTCCCCTTGAGAAGAGGAGCAGGGCTGGTGGAGGTTCAGGAGACTCTCCAGTGTACTTCTTGGCCAGGCAGAGGCAGTGCGGCAGGGATGGCTGGGGGGCAGCTGCGGCGCCCCTCTCCATTCCCCCCACCCCCGCCTCGCCCCTGCCTGGCCCACAGCTCCTGGTGCCAGGGGTGGGGGCGGCTTTATCTGTCCCTTTATTGAGCTTTGATTGATTTCCAGGTCGGTTCTCAGCCTCTGTTCTGAGAAATTATAGATCTGCTAGAGAAAGTACACGCCCAGAAATTGACACGGTAAACATGCGTTTACAGAGCACAAAGTGCCGACTCAGCACGTTCTGTGAGCCCTCAGCAGGCTGGGAAGGGAGGGTGTGCAGCGGGAGGGGACAGGGCTCTTTCTGTAAACCCCAGCTGGGCCTGCGTGGCCAAAGCCCTCCATAGGACTTGGCCGCTGGGGTGGGTGCTCGCCGCAGCAACACCCGCACTCAGCCCCCGCCACTCAGGGAGTCAGCCACCTGAAGGTCTCCCCAAGGCGTCTGGTATCATTTGCTTCCAATCATCAGGTGTATGGGGACCCACACAAGCACTGGGTCTGGCTGCTCGTGTGACGTGTGATTCAGGCAGCTCGTACACAGCTGTCCCCGCATCCTTGCTCGCGCCTCGGGACGCACTTACCCACCTACTGCCCGTGGACACTGCTGCGAGCTTATGGGTCCTTGGTGGACTTGCTGGGATCCAGGTGCGGGTCTTCTTGGCAGGTGAGGTCGAGCCTTCCCAAGTAGTTAGCAGGTCACCACATCCTAGGGCCGAGGGGTGTCCTGCACGCCCCACCACCACCCTGTCTGTTCTCAAGGCCCAAAGGTGAGTGGACGGTGGCTTTCATTCCGTTGGTCTTCTCAGACACCAGCGGGACCACAGCCCCTCAGGCTTATCAGCCGGGGGGGAGGGGGTGCAAGTCCTTCACCAGGCGTACGTGGGCAGCGTATCCTTCTTCCCCGAGCGTGCCTTTCCGCTCTCTTCATCACTTCTGGCAAGAGTTCGTTTTGATGTGGTTTCCCGAGATGTTCTGTGCTGAGCTGGACTTCTCAGTCTTGGTGGTTTCACGGCCACTATGGCACGTGGACTTGAACATAATGCTCTTGAAGCATCTCGGGAACACGTCGGGTCCCCTGCCCACAAGCCTGGAGGTGGGGGAACATTTGAGTCCCTCGCGGAGCACAGCATCCTGTGTGCAGGGCCCAGTGCATGCCCTCTGAGGCCGTGCGAGCAGCTCGCCACTGTCTGAACCGAAACCAGAGCCTATGGGAGTGTGGGTTGTGCTGAAGTTTGTGCAGGATGGACACCACGCCCCTGCACGTGGTGCACAGCCTCCTCCTCAGATCTTCCCTGGCGTCGCTTGGCATTTCTATACACCTCTCTTACGATCTCGCACACGGTGTCTACATTTTTTCTTGGATGGCTGTTAACTTTTTGAGACTGTTCCTTCCGGTCTGCCTCTTGCACTTTCTGCCTGTCCAGGCTGAGAACTCCTGAAGGGCGCTGACAAGTGAGATGCCCCCACTGACAGTCCTCCCCTACAACAGCCTTACTGGGACCAGGTACACAGTCCCCCAAGCTCCAGCCTCGGGGGGCTCGTGTGTCTCCTCGTGACCAGCAGGCGGGCTTTCTGCGCTCGCCCACACAGCAGCCTGGAGTCCTTCACGCCGAGCTGTGGCTGAACAGCAGTCCGTGGCAGGGATGGGCTGCCGCTGGATCCATTCACCCACTGAGCTGACAGACGTCTGGATTGTTCCATTCGGGGGCTGCTGGGACGTTGTTGCCAGCATTTATCTATGACTCTTGGTATGGATGTGTTTCGTGCTTCCTGGGTAGATTCTTACAAGTGGAGTTGGTAGCTCACATGGTATTTAGGTATAACTTTTACAGATTTTAAGTCATCTCTGCACCCAACGTGGGGCTCAAACTCACGACCCCAAGATCCAGAGCCACACGCTCCACTGACTGAGCCTGCCGGGCACCCCTTAGGTCTAACTTTTTAAAAACTTTTGTAAAATACAAGCGTTCCAGTGGTTGCACATCCTGCCCAGCATTGGGTGTGCTGAGTTTTACACGCCCAGCTGTGCTAAGTCTGTGTCTGACAACTAACGCTCAGCACCGTTTCCCAGGGTTCTCAGCTCTGTCGTCCTGGGTGCGCGCTCTAAGTCTTGCTCACTTTTGTTTTCTGAGTTCCAAGACTTTATGGATTACAAGTTATCAGGTATAATATTTGCAAATACTTTTCCCAGTCTGTGGCTTATCCATATTTTAAAAAATGGGACACCTAGATGGCTCAGTCAGTTAAGCGTCAGACTCTTGATCTCAGCTCAGGTCTCCATCTCTGGGGTCCTGAGTTCAAGCCCCGCATTGGGCTCCATTCTGGGTGTAGAGCCTACTTTAAGAGGAAAAAAAAACATACTCTCTCTTAAAATGCAAAAGTTTATCTTGACTAAGTTCAACTAACTTTTTTTTCTGGTTCATGCTTTCCGTGTGCCTCACACTGGATCACAAAAATCTTTTAATCAAGGGATACAGAGCACTTTTCCGTTTACTTAGATCTTCTTTATAAATCTTGCACTGTTTTTGATAAACTAATTTCTAAGTATCTTATTAGTTTGGTGCTACCGTGAATGGAACCACCTTAATTTTATTTCCAGTTGTTATTAGCATGTAGAAATGGAATAGAATTTTTTTTTACTAATTTTGTATCCCAGGATCTGGCTAAATAAATTGATCAGTCCTGGGTTTGTATGTGTATCTGGATCCCTAGGATTAGCTCCTTATGGGGTCATCTTGTCTATGAATAAGGACATTTTTCCTTTTTCCTTTCTGACCTGCATTCTACTGTGGTTTTTTTTTGTGGTTTCTTTGGCCTTACTGCACATCCAGTCACACGCCGAGTACACGGGCAAGTGCAGACATGCCTCGCCTCGTTCCCGGTTTTAGAGGTGAGTGTTCAGTCGGTCACCATGCATTTGGACCCTGTGACAGAATAATGTTCTCAGAGGGACAGTCGTCCTCACCCCTACAGTCACGACCGTTTTCAGCCACACAGCAAAAGGGAGTAGAGGTTGCTAATCGGCTGGCCTAGACAGTGGGACTAACGTGGATTTTCAAGGTGGACCCAGTGTCGTTACAAAGGTCCCTAACAGTGGAAGAGGGAGCTCCAGGGGCAGATGGGAGACCATGGGAGGCTTCCACCCATAGCTGCTGATGTTGGAATATATGGGAAGGACATCAGGAGCCAAGGAATGAGGGCACCTCTGGCAAGAGGACTGGGCAGGGAAGCAGGCTCTCCGGGGCCTCCAGGAGGAAGCAGCCCGGCAGGCACTTTGAGTCCGGAGCGGCTGGGGTCTGACTTACGGCCTCGAGCACCAGGTCTGTCGCCACCAGATGCTCTGCTGTTGAGACCTTCACACGTGTGTCTTTTATCCTGAGGCCCAGGAAGCTGCCTTCTGTTCGTGGTTGGACACTTCTTATGGGTGTGTTTGCGTTTGTCCAGTGTTTTGCTACTTCCATTGAGCTGATCCTGTGGATTTTGTCCTTTACTCCATGAGGATGGGCTATGATATTCGTTGATGGTTGCATGTCTGGCCGACTGACATTCCTGGGGTAAATATTTGGTTGTGGTACATGATGTTGCCGTACTTGGGTTACGGCTCTTTTGTTGAGAATTTGACATCTCACGGTTCACAAGGGACACTGATCTCTAGTCTCCTTCGTGACATCTGTGGCTTTGGTGTCGGGACGCTCACCTCACAGGTGGGGTGGGGAAGCTGTGTTTTTTCCGAGTTTGTGAGTGAGTCGTGTCATGGACAGAATGCTCAGTGGAGCTGCTGGGCTCTTCCTCTGCATGAAAACTTCAGATCTCGTATCAGTTCGATTTCTTGCTACAGTCTATTCTGATTTACTGTTTCCCTCTGAGTCCATTTACGTGATTTGTGCCTTTCTAGGAACTGGCCAGGGTTGTTTTCCTAGCATTCCCTGAGAGTCCTGATGCTTAGTGCTGTGGGGGTAGGGGTAGCGCCGTCCCCCTTCCCGCGTGATTTTGGTGATGTGTGTGTTCTTTGTTGGTCAGTCTAACTGTGGGTTTGTCAACTTCGTGATCTTTTCAAAGAACTAACTTTTGGGTTTTCTGTTTTCTATTTTGCTGATTTTCCTTTTTCTTCTACTTCATGTTTTGTTTGCTCTTTTCTCTAGTTTCTTAAGATACAGGCCTTTCGGGCGCCTGGGTGGCTCAGTCGTTAAGCGTCTGCCTTCGGCTCAGGTCATGATCGCAGGGTCCTGGGATCGAGTCCCACCATCGGGCTCCCTGCTCCGCAGGAAGCCTGCTTCTCCCTCTCCCACTCCCCTGCTCTCGCTGTGTCTCTGTCAAATAAATAAATAAAATCTTTAAAAAAAAAAAAAAGATACAGGCCTTCCTCCTTTCTGTGCAGATGCGTGAGGCTCTGGGGTTTGCTGTGTCCCACAAACATTGGTGTGCTTTCAACTTTCACTCCTCCTGACCCACATGCTGTTCTTTCCGGAGGCAGGGGCGTCCAGACTTCATTCTGCCGCAGGGAAATAATTCTCCTGGAGTTAGTGAACATACTTCATTGTTTTGTCTTTTAAAATTTATGATGACTAGTTGTGTGGCTTACGCTGTGGTCTGTGCTGAAGAATGCCACACAGGTGGGCTTTCTGAACACAGGTGGTTCTGTGGGGGGAGCGTGCACTCTGCGCCTCCTGCGTCCTTGATGATGGGTCATCTAGGCTGTCTACCTTTTCAGGAGAATTTAAACCTCTGTTTCTTAGGGCGCCTGGGTGGCTCAATCGGTTAAGCATGAGATTCTTGGTTTCGGCTCAGGTCATGATCTCAGGGTCACAAGACTGAGCCCCACGTTGGGCTTCACATTCGGGGAGAGGGGGATTTTGCTTGAGATTCTCTCCCTCTGCGCCCCTTGCCCGGCTTGCTCATGTGCTCTCTTTTTAATTTTTTTAATTTAAAAAAAATCTCTAATTTTTGTTATGTTACCTATTTTCCTTTCAATTTCTGAATTACTGTAAGTGTTACTTACAGGGTCAAGTGTAAAGCAGTATTTTTCTTCCCCAGTGACTGTCCGGCCATCCCTGCCCACCCCCCCCACAGACTAGACATGAGGCATTCATTGCTTCAACAGAAGCTTAAGTCGGGTTCCAACTTATGAATATTAGCTGACAAATGAGAAACCTCTCTGGGCCAGGGAAGGAAAAGATGCCGTGGCCTGTCTCCTCTCCCCCCACACACACCCACCTGGCCACAGTGGGACCCCACATGGGCTTGACCCCCACCTCTGCTAAGGGCTGACCTTCACAGAGTCCTGGGTTCACATAGGTGCAGCCCCTACACCAGACTCTGTCCTAGACCCACCAAGATCCAATTCTTCACAGGCCTCTCTGCTGCTCCAACTCAGATGAGCGTCCATAGAAGTAGGTGAACTAGGAGAAACCTTTTACGGTTTTACTGACCAATTAATGATGAAAAGTGTGGGGTTACTAGGGGCGTGGGGGTGCTCAATGCCCCTGAACTGTACACTTGGGTCACTACTGTGACCCTCACCTAATAAAACATTTTTAAGATTGGTAAAGCCTGAGTGATTTCCTAGCTGCAGAGAAGTGTGCCACATGGGACCAGCATGTGACCCTGGGCTGCGTCCAAGGACAGACAGACCCCCCCCCCCCGGAAAACAGGTCACAGAGTCCTAGAGAAATACTTCCAGGGGCACCTGCGTGGCTCGGCCGTTTAGTGTCTGCCGTCAGCTCAGGTCATGATCCCAGGGTCCTGGGATCGAGCCCCGCATCGGGCTCCCTGCTCAGCGGGGAGACTGCTGCTCCCTCTCCCACTCCCCCTGCTTGTGTTCCCTCTCTCATGGTCTCTGTCAAAAAAGATAAAAATCTTAAATAAATAAATACTTCCAAATAAAACCCCTCTGAGGGCCGCAGGGGCCTTGGGTCGGGAGTTAGGAGCAAGGGCGGCAAACTCCCAGGCTCTGTGCTCGTACCCTACGGGAAGTCAGTCCACAGCAGGGAGGACATGATGGACAGAAACCAAGGAAGTCCCCTCAGCCACGCTCAGTGCTCCACGCCGGACGCTACGGGTGAGCTTCGAGCTTCACCTTCTTGCTCAGAAAGACGACCGCCCCGAGAAGCTGAGAAGGTAGGAGCCACAGCAAGACATCAGGGAGTGGGAGGGCACCCCGGACCCTTCTGAAAAAAGAGGGGCGCCTGGCCAGTCAGTCAGCGGAGCATGTGGTCAGACCTCAGGGTTGGGGGTTTGAGCCCCATGGTGGGTGTGGCGATGACTTAAGATCTTTAAAAAAAAAAAAAAAATACTGGAAAGAAAGACACCTCCCCAAGTGGCTGAAGAACAAAAGAAATAACAGCCCTGTAACTGTTGAAAACACCAGGCTCATACTAGAATTTACCTTTTTCAGACTCGCAAGGAGCAAACACTTCAGTCCCTTTATGGTCTACCAACAGCAGATGGGCTTCTGCAAGAAGGCGTCCACGCCCAGCCGGCCAGCAGCGGGAGCCCCGAGGAGACGGCATGTCGAGAACATAACTGTGCAGAGTCCACCAAAGGAGACTATGTGGAGACTATGTGAGGAGACCCAGCTCCCATTTGGGGTGACTTCTGGCCAAACTTCTGTCCCGTACACCTGCCCCTCCTCCTGGCACCTCTCCGGCACCCACCATCCTGACCTCACTGCCCAGGGAGCGCCTCCTGCCTGCAGGACTCCCCTGCATGCTGGCGACCCCCTAGGGTATATTTCCAGCCTCGACCTACCCTGGCGTTCCTCTGCCCACCGCCCCACACCTCGGGGTGCTTCACAGGCAACTCGACCTACACTTGCCCAAACCCAGCCCCATGGGCCTTCTGTGGGCCCCTTTCTGTCTCCCTGCAACACTGCACTCACAGCTCAGATCCCAGCTAGGGCAGAGGCTAGGGCCTCCCACTCAGCTCACTAGGAACCCCTTTGCCTCTCCGGCAGCCCTGCCACGGCCCTCGGAGAAATGCTGGTAGAAGCACCCTCTGCCTGCTCGCACACGTCTTCAGGTGGATGCCAAGGTGCTCCCATGTTCCATCCGCTGCTCCCCACACATCCCCTCACGGCTCAGCAAAAGCCCTGCCCCAGGGCCTTGGCACTTGCTTTTCTCTCCAGATACCTGCAAGGCTGGCTCCTTCGAGCCTTCAGTTGCTCACGGCACCACCTCAACAAGGCCCGTCCAGCCCCTACACTTCTGCTCCTTGCCTGACTTTCTCCAGTGCTTCCTCCATCCAGGCAGAAGCTCCACAAGGGCAGAGGCTTTGGTCTGTTCACACTGAACCCCCCCCCCCCCCAGAGCAGCTCGGCCTCGGCCACAGCAGCTGCACTCAGGGGAAACGGTCAGTGAGGTTGGGGACGAAGGCCGTGGTCCCGCTTGCCTCACCTCAACACGGGAGACCCAGGGAACCAAAGTCCCAGCAGCGGGACCATAGAAGGTTCATGAAGGACATGGGGCTCAGGCGGGAATGAGCAGGTTTCCGGGAGCCAAGCTGACTGCACTGCTCTACGTTCCTGACCCTGGAGTGATTTAAAAAGACACCATTTAGCTTTGACCCAGCAGCGTCAAAGGACCAAGTACCAGGCACTGGATGTTCCGAGAGCTGGCCCCTGGGGAGAGAGCACCCAGTGGGAAGTTCATCCGCTGTCCGGTGGTCTGTCTGCCCTCTCCCTGGTTCGGGCAGGGAGCCTTGGAGCCCTTGGAACTCCCCACAGGATGGGGTGGGGACTGTCGTTCCCAGGAGCTGCTGCCACACTGGGGTCGACACAAGGGGGATGGTCACACCATGCACATGGCCAGCGATCCCAGGGACGATGCAATGACACCCCACTGCACGTCAGCGCTGGCTCAGATGGGCCAGGAGGGTGATGCACAGCGTTCCAGAGAGCGCGCGGCTCAGCGCTTTGGGCCCCCCAGACCTCACCCTGGGGCCCTGCTTTGTACCCTTTATAGTCAAACTATAAAATCCCAACGGCAGTGCGTCTCAGCATTCTAGGAGCTGTCCCATGAGTGACTGAGCAAGAGGGGTCAATGGGACCGTCTGCTGTTGCAGCCAGACAGGCCGCCACCACAGCCCACACTGGCCGTGTGGACTCCCCCGCAGGGACCAGTGCTGTCAGACGCCAGGGCGGTCTTGCTGGGGACCGAGCCCTCCAGCTGCAGGGCCGCGCAGACGGGGGCACTCAGCATCAGTGTTGGGTTTTAGTCAACACAGAGAGCAACAGAGACCTAATGCTGGACAAGCGGCAAGTTCATAACTTGAAACTTGCATCACAAGAAGTCCAGAAATCCAGTGCATCACAGTATCATTCCTGTCCTGACCCCAGCCATAAACATCTAATATTTATACATAAGGGCAAACGGCCAAGACTCTCCTGAAGAACAAAGTTGGGCTGGGTCCCTTCCTGGAAATGAAGAATTATCCTATAGCTATAGTAACATGGACTGTGGGGCCACAGGACAGGCCTGCTCCCCTGGGTGCTTGCCCCCCGGGGCTGGCAGTCCACACCACCAGGAGGGACAGAGGAGTGGGCACCCACCGGGGGGGGGGGGGGGGGCAGAGTGCTGGCCACCAGCATCTACAGCACTTTCACGGGAACCCCAGACCAGGGGGTCAGAAGCAAGCACCAGACTCCCGGATGGACTAATGGGAAGGCAGCAGAGGAGGGAAAGGTGAACACGTATCGTGCCCTTGACCAGAGGAAGGATTTCTTCAACAAGACGCCGGAGTACGAAGCCAGCAGCCACCTGGGGAATGACTGCCGACACGTGCGGCGGGAAACAAAGGCCCCGTGTGACCAGTGAGAGCAAAGCCCGGGAGAAAAGTGGGGGCCCCCCAGGCGAAGCAGCGGTCCAGGGGAGGAAACCCGAGTGGGCAGCATGCGTGTGGAACGGGATCCAGCCTCCCCGGGGAGGCAGCGGGCCACCCCACGGCGGGTTGCACATGGGTGTGGTGGACATGGGCCAGAACGTTCTCCTGAGTCAAAATGCCTGCTCTCCATGGCCCGCATGCAGCGCCCGCACGAGAGCGTTTCGGAGCCTCACATCGCAAACCCAAGACCTTAGCCACATGTCTGGCTCCAGAGCCCATGGGGGCGGCCTGGCAGGACCCCCTCACCAAGGACAACACATACAAAGGAC